TACAAGAAACATCTGCAAGACAACGATCAAGCTCAGAGAGCAGCAAGGACCCCCTCATTTCAACCCTGATCTACAAATATTGGAGCAGTTTTGAGTTCAAAAGGGAGAGAGAGTTTCGATTGCTAGGCAAAGTTCCCAAGGAAGTCAGTGGTTGTCAAAACAAGATGAGATTTCTCAGATTTTATAGAAAGGGCTTTCATGTACTAAGAGCTAATTAGAACAGTTTCAAGGACGAGTTTATAACCATTGGTTGTCACGAAAAGTTCTTCCAAATGGTGGTCTCTGTGATTCACATACATAGGGTGAGAGAGAACCCTTTTAGAATCTTCTGAAGCAGGGCTGTCAACATTTCATTTTGAATTCAACAATATGAGCATGTAGATCAGAAGGTAATTTGGACTGATAAGGAGTTTCTATTGTTTCCCCTTTCTCCTGAACTTTCTGTCAGTCCATTCTATTCCCTCATGAACCATCCCATCACTGAACAAAAAGAACAAAATGTTTAAGATGCTTGCTAGGATTACTTCAGCAATCATATAATGTATTTAACTTTGTTTGCAACAGTTCCTTAGAGAAAGTAAATACTGCTACAACTGTGTGTAATAATATAAAGATAGTCCTTACTTACAACCACAATTGAGCCCCAAATTATTGTTTTAAGCAAGACAGTTAAGTGAGTTTTGCCCCACTTTACAACTTTTCTTGCCACAGTGAATCATTAATGAGTGATTCATTAAGCGAATCATTACAGTTGTTAAGTTAGTAACACAGTTGTTAAGTGAATTTGGCTTCCCATTGACTTTGCTAGTCAAAAAGTCACCAAAAGCGATCACGTGACCCCGGGGTACTGCAACCATCATAGATATAACCTAGTTGCCGAGCGTCCGAATCTGGATAAAGTAACCATGGGATTGCTGCAGCAGTCGTAAGTGAAAAATGGTCATAAGTCACTTTTTTTCTGTGCTTGTTGTAAGTTTGAACAGTTACTAAATGGATGATGGTAAGTCGAGGATCAGTTATATCCACCCAATTTTGGATGACAAATTATTATAATTTTCATTACCTGGAAATCATTGTAAAATAATAGGAAAAATGAGCAAGTTTCCCTGTGTGATATCTTTGCCGCAGTATTCAGGACAGGACACAAACGGGCCACATTCTTGGAGATCCTAGGAAAAGAGGTCCAGTGATCACATCAGAGAGGGAGTTGTCTCCAGCTGTCCTAATTCTGATTCGCTTGCTCACTCACTTTGCATTGCTTCTGGGAGCCTCAAATGATGCCCAGGTATTTTGTTTTGCACAAAAAATTACAACTTACCTGCTTCTTTCTGAAATGCATTGTACACAAAGAGACGATGACTTATCTAAAATGGAATTACTTGAAAAATCAGGTTTTCTCAATATTATGAAAAGTAATAATTATTGGTCCTGAGAATACAAGGCCATAATACCATGTTTTCCTGAAAATAAGACCCAATTGGAAAATAAGCCCTAATGTGTGATTCGTAGCAAAAATTAATACAAGACCCAGTCTTTATTTTCTGAGAAACATGGGTAGTAGTCATGTTATAGTAATATAGTACTAATTATAAAGTAACAACTTCATTCAAGCAGCATAACTACAATTAGATGTTTAATGATTATGGAGCATAAGACACCCTGGGCACTGTCACTGTACCATGCATGCTTCAAAGTTTTCAGGAAGCAAAATGGAGACCATGATCTTCTAGGGCAGAGTTTTTCAAACTTGGCAATTTTAAGATGTGTACATCCAGAATTCTCCATCCAGCGTATTTAGAGTTGCCAAGTTTGAAAAACACTTCCCTGTTTATTGACACTGGTCTGGATGAAGTCTTATAGTTCCTTTCCCTCAGATACTTGTGTTTCACGCTCATCCTATTTTCAAAAGTTCCCTGCATATTTCCACCTTATATCAGAATTAACTGTAAATGTGCTTTGTTTAATCAAAGCTGTAGTTAGCTATTCTCTGCAGTTATGGGCTATAGTTAACTATTCTCTGACTTGCATTCTTGGCAAAAAGTATGCAATCTGAAATGTATGGGGTGTTTTTGTTTTTGATGTGAGTTCTCATTGCCCATAGAGAAATATTATTGATGTTCTTAATAACACATTGAAAATAAAGTAATTTGCATTTCAGCACTCAGTGAAAAATGTAATAATGAAGCATGTTCAAAATTATGTTTTTCTCTCAATTCTAAAACGCGGATTACTTTAGTTTCATTACGTTACTAAAAATATCAGTAATACTTTTCTATGAGCAATGAACACTAGCATTAAAATCCAAAACACCCTAGGCCTTTTAGGTTGCATACTCTTTGCTAAGAATGCAGGTCAGAGAACCAAGATGTTGGACTGGCACTGGGAAAACTTGAGCTTAATTCCATCTGCAGCCATAGAGTTCACTAGGTGATTCTCTATCATTCCAACCTACTTTTCATACTTGTTACTACAGGAAAAAATGGAAGAGGGATCCATGTTCTATGCCAGTTTGAGCTGATGGGTAGAAAGATGGAATAGAAACCTTAACAAATCAATAGGTTGAAAGAGTAGTGCTCGATTGTGGTACCAGAAAATTAAAGTCAAGAGAATTGTGGGCTCCCCTTGTATAATAGTGACATATTCATTTATTTTTAAGTTAAAGGGATGTTTTTAAAATACTTGCTTAAGTACCTAGCTTTGTGATTAAATGCTTATTCACAAGTCATGTAGACAAGAATTCTGAATGGTAGGTTCTGTTGCTCAGTCTCTCTTGCAGATCATAAAACCACAGGTTCAGGATCCAGTAAATTTCTTGCTGCAGCATATTGACAAAGACTTAGAGCAGTTGATGAATACTCTTGGGAAGAGTGCTGATGAAACCACTAATGTCATCCACCTCATTCTGTGTAGCCTTTCCAAGGACCAACATGCAGGACAATGTAAGGACAGCAGCTTGCCGAATGTTGTTTACATTTAAAGACGTACAATTGCAGCACATTTTTTAATAATATACTTCAAAGGAACTGAGAGGACCAGAGATCAAGAGTGATTAAATATTACACCCACGAGAAATCACTGCCAGTGTGTGGTTGCCATACTTGGCTTTTAATCTGATTTCATTAAGGAATTTAGATGTGTTAGATAATTTATATCTGTCCAAAAAGCCTGTGATGATTTATTAACCTGCACAAAACTGTGATAATGGTTATGGTAATAAACAATGGTTAGCGGGGGAAATAATGGTGTGTTAAACTCACCCACCAACATTTTTTTGGGCAACCCAGTAACTTGCATTCTTTGTTTTAAATCTTGAGCTCACTGAATTCCCATATGGTTTTTTGTATAAGTTTGGAGAAATCACTTCTGCATCTGTAATTCAACTGTACACTGAAGCGTTTCACTGTGAAAAGAATATGTAGTCCATACACATCTCTTTGTACTATTCTCTTCTCACAATAGCAATATAAGGAAGAAAACAGGTTTATTTTATTTCAGAAATTAAGACAAACCTTCTCCAAAAAATCTAGGAGGTTCAGAATCTAAGAAGCAAAATAACTGGCTAGTTGGGGGCCAAATAAATGTAATAAATCTTTTGCAGGGCCAGTACATTTTAACAGTCAGCTTTCCATCAAAGAGCACAGAAACAAATGGGAAGAAAGTGTTGCACGCACCATTATTCTACCTGAACTGAAGGTAAAAAAAAAATGTTTGTGTGTCCCTGTCTCTCTCTCTCAGTCAGTCTGTCTGTCTCTCCCCGGAATACCACCGATTAGGTGTTCCAGCTGCCTGTATTCCTGTTTTCCGGAAGGCCGATCCAACTGCCAATCAGCTGCTCAGCAGTGAAGGCTCCAGCGTTCCCAATGGTGGCAGCGGCAAACGCCACTGCTGCACCAAACCCCCTCACCCTCCACAATATTTGCTTCATAAGATGCAGACATTTCCACCCACTTTTTTGGGGGGGGAAGCGCATCCTTTAGAGCAAAAAATATGATAACTGTCTATCGGTTTATCGATCTATCAGCCACACACACATATTCAGATAGAAATGCTGTTGCATGAAAACTGTGTGTCTGTGTGTGTAGGTGGGTAGGTATGCATATACATATATATGCATATATATGTTTATGCATACATACACACACAGACACACAAACAAGCCAGGCTGAATTTAAAATTAAAGTAGGTTTTATATTATATAACATATAAACATGACACTAGGCAAAATGTGGGTTAGATATAAGAAAAACTGTTTTTTCTTGGTGCTGTAGACAGAGTCAGTTGGCAATACTGTCTTGAGTCTATACATCATATTAATGGTATATAAGGCTATTATTTGGGCCTCTATCGTGTGTCATATTAGCAGTATGTAACATCAATTGCTAGAAACCAAGAAATTGCTGCTATCTTCCTTAATGATCTGAAAGAAGCAAGGTATTAATTAGTTTATTAGTTTATTAATTAATTAGTAATCTGTTTAAACTAAGTTTAGTTCTGCCAAAGGGAGAGGGCTGACATATCCACCATTTTAACCTTCCTCCAATCCTATACTTAAGAACGAATCTATACAGCCTTGCATAGAGGCAAACTTTACATCCTCATGATAACTCCTCTAGTGCTTGGAGTGAACTCCATAAATTGTATAGAGTTGGGTTCCAGATCCCAACAGACATGGGAGATAGTGTGATAGGCTACCAAGAACCAAGAACAACACAAGGAGTTAATTCTGAGTAATTTCCTTTATTGTTCCTCACTTATAAGACAGAATTTTGCTAGACTAAAGCAACTATCTCCATAACTACAGATGTATAGTGTGTATATCCCTATACCAGAAGGAGGGTTTTTTAACCTCTCTTCCTGCCGACTATACTTTACAATCTCTGCTGCCTGTTTTCCCCTTGGAAAACAGCCCCAGACTATGTTCCCCCAGATATTGAGACAGCTTTTGTATATCTACCTTATGATGGTTTTAGTTTCTTAGCTCGATTTTCCAGAACTGTGAAAAGCTGACTTTTCATATAACTCTTATTCAGAATGGAGACTTATGAGACACATTTCAAAACCACATTTTTGAACAGTAGCTTTTAAGAAATTATCATTCAGCTTTTGAAAGCTATTTGAATTAAGAAAATTACCTAGGGTCAGTCACTCAAGTTATCCTTACAGCTGTACAGATTCCTGGGTGAATGCTATAATTCTGATATTGCTTTAAAGAAGTTGTTTTTATGCACTCTCTTTTTATGATGCCTCTCACACATGTGCCATGTTTTCTAAGCAGCTTTTGGATAAAGCACTTCTGGACTTGAATAAACAAATCAGTGAAGATGAAAGACTTTCTTCCAACCCTGTAGTGAAAATTATTTATGGGGACCCTGCAGTCTTCCTGCCCCATCTTCCTAAAGACAGTGTTATACATTCCTCTCGGATATGGAGTTGCAAGAAGAGGATCTCAGTCGAGCATCTGGCTCACATCGTCCAACAGAAAGGCAGCAAGGATACTGTGCCCATCTTGCAGAAATTTTTGCAAAAGGTGAGCATGCCAATATCTTTGCCAGTGGTCATGTCATGGGATTTGTGAAACAGAAAATATGCAGTGCTGGAACCTAGTTGTCAGCTGCTTGTCCTAATTGTCCAACACAAAAACCTGTGTCTGCCTTCTTTTTTTGCTTGAGTTTTATTAATGTAACCATTTTGATCTAGGAGTAGAAATTCTTTTGTCAGCTGCTTGTCAAAAGCTGAGCTACATCAAACCGTGCAGAAACTTTGAAATATTAACATCACAGTTGCAACATAAGGAACCTCTGTTGGCGTTTCTATAGTGCTGTGATCCAGAGACCCAAATCTCTTCTAAACTTTGAAGGTGCCAAGTCCTGTCAGATTTCAATGAGGCTAGCCTTTTTTTAAAAAAAAATAATCATGCTTGCACATGTGAAATTAATAGTGAAACCTAATGGCGGGGCAAATACATGGTTGCTTGATCATTTAGTTGCTAATCCAGCTGCTTTCTGGATCATCCTTTGGATCAAGTGCTTACTGCACAGAAATCAGTTGATTTGCCCTTGTAGCAGGAATGGGCAGGAATAAACTAAATCACAGAATTACTGGATGTGGTGGTGGGAGAAATTATTGTCTTATTTTTGATTAAGAAGAAAAAACATTAATTGTGCATATGAATCTTTGTTGTATGCATCAAGTGTACAGTTGAAAATAAATCAGTTTTGGCTGTTACCTTTTTGTAGAAAGAAAAGAAAAGAAAGAAGGAGAAAGGAAAAAGAAAATGTTTTATTAGATGCAGTTCTTTCTTGAGAGTGGGGATCAACATCAAAAATAATAATATATTATTAAAGTCAAATCAGTATAAAATTATTGCTCAAGAGATTTATTCACAACCATTGCACATTCTCCGGTGCCCATCTTAAAGCTGCCCAAACCCATGCAGATTTGCTCAAGCAGGGGGTTGGACTAGAGGACCTCTAAATTTCCTTCCAGCTCTGTTATTTTATATTCAGAAGGTTTTTAAGTTCATTTGTTCTCAACCACATTGAAGTGCAATGTGCATCTTCTGGCTAAAAAGAATTTTCAATCTAAAAGGAAGGGCTGGGTTGCCAGTTGATTGCTTTCCCAAAGGTAGAATAAGGATAGAAAGAGGAACAATCAGCATTTGTTTTGATGAAGTGTAAGAGCGAGCAAGTTTATGTCTGAAATACTACAATTGTCGATGATGCAGTAGCTACTTATTACCATACACCTTTCTAAATTGTTTATAATTGGGTAATTGTCAGCAATACTACTTTTCCAGCTTCATGGACAACAGAAAGTGAATGTCTACTAATGTTGATTTATAGTTGATCTGTTAATACTGATACAATCTTTTCCATGTGCAAAATGAGGAGCACATGCCCCCAATGCTGTCCTACTTTTGAGAGAACCAGATTTCATGTATACACACGTGTATGTGAATAAACTAAACGTATACAGACTGAATGTGTAAAGCATATATAGTGTTCTTTCTTGACAATTATCTTGTATTCGTTCCTAGAGATTCAGCTTCTGCTTTCTGATTTGACCTTGTCTGTTCAATGTATAGGAAGCTGAATTGAGGCAGGTGAAATTTCTGCCAGAAATTCTTGCTCTGCAGAAAGACTTGGTGAAGAGATTTCAGAACATCTCAGAAATTGAGCATCGCACAATTGAAGATTTTCTCAGCAATTTTTCCTCGGGTGAGATTCTCCCTTGCTCTCTGGTTAGATAGCAAAGCATAAGAGCATTAAAGTATTTCTTAACTACCAAGCATATTTAGAAAACAAACGTGTTCAGCTAATTGGAGAGTATTAATCTGTGCAAAGTCTGCTTGGCAAGCATTTGCAAGCCTCAGTGTCCGCTTAACAACTTGCATGGTTGCTTAATGACTGCAACTGGGAGAGCTGGAATTGCAGTCATTGAGTGAAAGGTGACTTAATGACCACTTTGTTCAGTGACAAAGATTCTGGTTCCAATTATGGTTGTAAATCAAGAGCTACCAGTAGATCATGCCTAGGGATAATGACTTATTTGGATTTCACTCCATCCTATTGTGATGGTTAGGCATCTTCCAAGATTATGGAACTCTTTCTGAAAAATATACTAACTAAATTAAAGCTTTGAGTTATATGCCTGAGAGCTAGTAGGGTCATTGGGGTGTCAGGGATGAAATAATAAGCATGACTGATAGCCACAAGGAATGGTGTGGTATCCTGTGCTGGATAGAACTTAGCCTGCTGCAGCAAAGTTCCTTTTATTGTCTCATTTTTTAAAAATTTTAACTTTGCAATAAATTTTGGCTAGATTCCATTTCTTTTTACTATGTTTCTTGCATCCTCTAGGTGTCAGGTCACAAATGAAAGGCAGAGTGGAAAAATTTCTGGATGTGTGGAACAAACTCAGATTATCCATAGAAACCAGTGGTGAGATTCAAGCTTACTTTATCAGTCAATCAAATGGCAGCAATAAGGGATTCCTCAGTACTACCAAAAGAAAAAAAAAACCCCACCATGTTGTACTATCTTTGGCTGGCCAACAGACTCTAGCCCATAAAGCAGAGCTGTAGCCCACTAGAATTTGCTGACCTCGTGCATCCCTGATCATTGGCCATTTAGTGGGGGGACTGAAGGAATTGTACTTCAGCAATATCTGGGGGTGTGTGGGGTGCACATGTGATGGCTATAAATCATTATATAAGCCAGGAATTATTCAAAACTAAAATGGAGTGTTGAACAGTAAGATGGTGCCTCTGGCTTCTTTCTCCCCTGCAGGTGAAATTAAGCTTCCTAAAGATTATTGCAGTATGGACCGCACAGTGAAAGATCCATTTGAAATCCTTTTGCCTCGCCGGAGAGATCTAGGCCTTTGTGCCACCTCCTTGGTTAGCTACCTCATTCAGCTGCACAATGAGTTCGTCAACACCATAGCAAAGGATTCAGCAGATGCCAATAGGTGTGTAGTTCTCAGTTCTCCCTGCAGCTGACAGATACTGCTGAATAAAGAGCACAGTTTATTTTCTCTTCTTTTTCCTTCTTACTTCTCAACAGATACTCTGTCAGTCCTGCTGAAGTGGCCGATCTGCACATGATCAGTTATGAAGTTGAAAAGGATTTGATCCCAATCATTCTGTCCAACTGCCAGTATAGCGTGCAGAAAGGAGGAGAGGCTCTGCAGGAATTTGACCTGGAAAAAATCGAGCAGCAAGTTGTCAGTAGATTCTTACGAGGGAAGCCCAAGATCACGTTGCAGGTATGTGCACCATAAACATATTTTCTTGGGGAAAAAAATAAAGGACAAACCTGAAAGGGGGGCAAATCTGAAAGATTAAAAAAGATAATTGCATATGTTTATAATTTTGCTTTACAGAAGAAAATTTAAGAACAAGAAAACAAAAAAAATAAATCTAAAGGACAGCTTTCTGAAATACAAGAGTGCTTTTTTAAATAAAGGACATATGTGGACGTATCAGTATGCACCATAGAAACTTGATGTAACTAGTTAGTGTTCTGGAGCCTGTGAGATGAAACTGCTAGTCCAGAAGATACTCTGCTGACCAAGCATCTGCTTTGTTCCCTTTCTTAACAGGGCATACCCACACTGGTACACAGATATGACCAAAATTATGAGCATCTGTTCAACAAAATCAAGACAAAGCTGGAAACTCCGGTGAGTTTTCAAAAAGAGGAAAAGACAAGCAAATCTCAGTATCATTCCATTTGGTGCTTATTTACTTGACTGTAAACCATGAGGTGCTCAATACACATTGCTTATAGGAAGGTGTGCATTTACTGTTCAGTTGAAGTAATTTTTATCTATTCAATGTTACAGATTCCCGGGAGTTTTAGTTATTACTTTGTAGGGGGAAAAACTTTGCTATAGAGATTGAGCAATGGTGAAAGCAGCAGTTTTCTTGAATATGTGTGCAGTTGCTTGCAGGCCCTGAAGGAGGTGCCAGATGGCATGTGCCTTTTCCTCATAGATAAAATGAGCCAGGAATGAATGCTGATTGATCTTATCTCCTTATGTTACAGAGCTCCCTTTCAAACTCTAAAATGGGCATGATCAGAGGGGATTTGGTATCGTACAGTGACATCTGTGAGGCACTCTCGGTCACTGAAATTATCTTAGGATTCCTGGCTACAACTGGAGGTGACTCACGTATGACTTTGGCCGATTATGCTGAAAATATCCTGCAGATGAGCAATCAGATAAGTCTTCCGGTGATGAAGGTGAGTGCAGGGGATCAGAGGCTCACCTTTCATCTCTGCAAGATGAAAGAGAAAAACCAGTGAGGATGAGGCATACCGTGTGCATAGCTCAGACTGAGAAAGGTAGCTGACGTTTTTCTCACTTAGTTCAGATCTCTACTCTTTTAATCACTGAAGAAAGTTTCTAAGCATGTTTGTGAGTGGTAAATAACAGTCTTCTTGAGATTATAGTACAGAATTATCCTTTTAATTGGACTGTATTTTGAAGTATTTGGGTGGTGGAAAGGAAAAGCAAGTTCAACTGGAAAGAGATTAAAAAAGATCCCTTATGGATCAAGTAAGTGCATTTCAGACAGGTTATTTACTTAAAAGCAGTTTATAAATAAAACAAATACATTCCACTGTTTCTACTGGCAGCCAATAGCCACCACCGCATCTTACAGTAGTATTTTCTAGGATTTATTAGGCAAATTTCTAGGTTGACCCATTACAACAACTGTAAGTGGCTTAACGTATCTGGACATAAAATAATGAAAAGATGTATCATCAGAGGAAACAGTAGTGAGAAAAACCCTTCCCCAACAGAGACAAAAACCAACACTCCCTTTCACCAAGCACCCTAACCTAATACCTTGGGGGAAGAGCCATGTTTTTAATGCTCTTTTAAACGTTGGCAAGGCCGCATTCATACACATCTCTTGGGGGATGCGTTTTCAGAGGCTGGTGTCCTGACAAAGAAGGCTTATTTCCCAAGGGCTGCTAGTAGATGACTTTGTTTAACTGGCAGGCTCAGGAATGAGCCAACTGTCATACGAGACAGAAAACTCCCCAGATAAATGGGCCCTATGCCGTGTAGATTTTAAGGTGACAACATCTGGAAGCCAAGTGGTGGCCAGTGCCGTTCACAAAGCATGGGCGTTACATGGGCATAGCATCCTTGCCCATCACAATTTATCTCATTGCAGTCAGGACCAGCTGTAGCTTACAAATAGAGTACTGTTCCATGTAGAAACATTGTAGGATCATACAATTATGCCTTACAAACTTGGTAACTAAAGTATGGTTGTAAGAAGGGCCCTCCTAGTCCAAGAAGAGATGCATCTAGTGCCCAAGATGAACCTGTGTGAAGGCCCTCCTGGCCATCTACTCCTCCAGGAGGAGTTGTGAGACCAGGAGCCCCCAATTATATACCAGACCGAGACAAAGATTGTGCAATCTTCCTCATTAGGGGCCCAAACACTCCTTTGTCTTGTTAGGATTGAACCTGAGCTTGTTCCTCTTGAATAAAAAACACTCAGCCACTAGGTGTCCGGTCACAATATCAGCAACATCACTTGGGACTAGCCCAGGGACAAGAGGCATAACCAGTGTAGTCATGATGCCTGACCCAGAATCAGCAGATGGCCTGACTCCGGATAGGATACATCACTAAATTAATATTTGAAACATTTCAAAGCAAAACATCTTGTGTAGCTTGGCCTCTATTTTTTTTATTATATAGGATATTTCTGCTTCACTATTTTAATTAGCCCTGCCTTTTAAAAAGTCTACTTCTTTGTCCATAGAAAACTACTGTTTTTGCAGCTGGAACATTGTTATATAGTCACCTAGAAAAATCCCTTTCCATTGTTAAAATTACCTAGAAAAACCTCTTCCTAGGATAGCCCTAGACTGGGCCAAGATTCTGTGGTGCCATAGATGCAATCCAAAATGTACAATCTAGGTTCCCTTGAATTATAAGGTGTTGAGAGGCAACTGTTAGTGCAGAACGTGTGTTGTGCTTTAGCGTCAACTGTCTCCATGCAAGAATTGAGTTTGGTGCTGTGCTGCACAAAATTTACATGAGAAATGTTGGCAAGCACTCTTCTCATTATTAAAAGATTTCTAGAATAAATTTTATCAGAAAAGTTTATATTAATATTTTATTTAATTACCTAAATGGCCTTCCATGAATGCCATTTAGAATTAACGTTTGCTTTATCATTTGCAAAAAAAATAAAAACTTTTATATTTGTGTGTGTGTGTGTGTGTGTTCATTTCAGGCACTGAGCCGATGTCAGCTAACGCATGCCATTTCCTTGTGGCAGCTCCTTTCTAGTCATAAATCAGAACAGCTGCTGCATTTGAAAAAGGTAGGATGTTGGGATAAGGATGTGCTCACTAGACATTTCTTGCCACTGTTTTCTCTCTCCTCCCCTCATAACCATTTCTGTCCGTCTCTTCCTCCTAATGTATTATCCAGGATCCTTTTGGAGAGATCAGTGCAGCCTATAAAGAGGAACTCGCTGTGGATAGTATCAATCTTCTCAAAGCTTTCCTCACTCAGACAGGGCTGGAGCCCTTCCTTCAGGAGTTGCATGAAATGATCATGCTGAAATTGAAACATGCCAAAGTTGGAGAAGAGTACAGTCCTACGTGGGGGTAAGAGTGTGAGCAGCCCAACCCTTTTGGTTTTTAGAGTGAAATACATCTTGTTTTGCAGAGTTTCTTCCTGTTTTGGACTCATTGTTTTTCCTTTTTTTTTCCAGCCTGAAAGAAGTACTTGTTCCATATCTTGAAGGAAAAGGTAGCAGTGAGCTTCAGGACTTGGAAGATATGTTCCCAGAAGATATCCTGGTTTCCCAGTGTATCGCTGCCTGGAAACTAGCTGCTACTCTTAAACGGAGTGGATGCGGCCCAGGAAATTAATCCAGGCACTTTTCCTGTCTCCCTCCATTCACTGAAGAGCAGAGCAGTTTATTTAATTGTTGGGTTTTCTTTATACTTGTACAAAAAGAAATGAAGGAGATAACAAGCTTTTGTATGTAAGGTGATCCTAAATCATGGTGCTAAATGTGAATAAATAGCGATGCACAAACCACAAAGGAATTGGTGCTTTAGATAATGAAGGATTTCTCAGAAATGGAAGTTGGATAAGTACGTTGCATTCAAAGGATTTTCATTGTTACAGATTTCTAAAAGGACCATGTAACAGCTATAACTTTGGCTTTATAGACTGCATTATAAACTTTCCTCTTTAATCTGTTTTAGAATTGGCAAGGGGCAGAGAAACAATCTTCTTTCCCTCAACTTTCCTAGATTTTCTAAACGCTACCAAAGTTATCTTTAATCAAGGTCATAATTTCTCATACACTGAATTCTCATACACTCTGAGACTAGGTATCTGAGCAAGTAGTTAGAATCAAGCAAATGTGTAAGTGAACCATCCCAACCATGTTTACTGATAGTTTGAAATAGGCTGTGAGGTTGCACTTCCTTTGATTTACTGCGTCTTTTTTTCTAAGAAGCTGTGGAAATTAATGTTTCCTGTTTAAAGATGCTCTTGCGAGATAAAGACCAATATCTACTGATAGTTTTTAGATGTCAAAGATAAATATGTACTGTTTTTGCATAGTTCTATTCTTAGTTTTGATAGTTAATTGACATTTCTACCAAGTTATGAATTAGGCATTGTCATTTCAACCCTCTCTGAACTTAAAGAAACTGAGCTGCTTGTTCTTCCTTCAATTGTGCCAGGATGATGTCTTAATACAGGTTGCTGTACTGCCAGAGAACAGAATATGCCTTGACTTATTTTTTTAGTCTTCAAAAATTGTAATCTATAAAAATTACTTTCTAGTCTTTTCCCCCCCTTTATTAAAAAGTCCTTGTTACAAAAGTGTTCAGACTGTGTCCCTTATTCTTTCTATAGCACACCTTGCACTTACATCACCTTTCTTGAGCTGGAGAACATGGTTTGGTTTTACTACTTGTCATTTAATTAATTGACAAGTAGCTAAAACTATTAACAATTTTACCAGATGACTTCAAAACAGGGAGCTGTACTATGTTAATATAATCCATGAACCATAGATTTAATTTGTTCAGAGACAAGAATCTTCTTGAACTTTCTATAAGATTTAGGATATCAATTACACACATTCTAATGATTGGTGGAAAAGAAGTCACCAAGCCTGCCACCCATAAGGAAAATGGGGAAGATATTGCTCTTCATATATTCTAATAGCAATTTCTCCTTTCATTTTAATTAATGAGAGTGGAATCTTCATTTGTTTCCTCAACCAACTTTAATTACACGTAGCTATCGCTCGAGAATGGGTGTTATTTCTGGATCTATTCACAAGCGCTGGTTTATTGCAAAGCCACTGGTTAAACTAGAACTGCCATATCTGGACTAAATCTGGAAGATAAGACGTACAAAACCACTCCGTTGCTATCTAGTGCGGGTTTTTGCAGCCCAGATCTGGCAGCCTTAGGTAAGCGCGTAACACGGCGGGAGCGGGGCTGTGGACGCTCTCAGTCGAAAACGCTGAGGATCGTAGCTGCCGCTATGGACGGAGCAGAGCCAGTCCTCGGATCCCGAGCCAGCCCGGTCGCTCATCCCTCCGCCCTTCGGTGCAAACAGGAAGCCGAAGGGACAGACGGAGGCCGGGCGCTGCAATCGTGCAGCGAACCCTGCGGGAGGAACCCCAGGAAGTAGAAAAAACCCAGGGTGCGGAGGGACGCCATGGCGGACGGGACGGGAACAAGGGAGGAAGAAGGGGAGACATTGCGGCGCTGGGAACGGTAAAAATGCCAGCCGGGGGGAAACCAGGGTTAAAGAAGATTTCGGGGAGGTCTTCCTGCCACCGGGGAACCTGGGATTTGTATTTCTTTTGAGCTGCTGGGTCTTGGCCTCGCCTCCTGAGTCCCTCGTGGCCAAAGAGCGATGGAAGGGCGCCTGCCTCCAGGGGCGCCCCCTGCCTGGCGGGTTGAGAGCGGGAGGGAAGCGTCGGGCTCACGAGGAGCGGGAATCGCGGTAAGTTAAAAGCCCCTAGCCTAGAAGGGAAGCTGCTGGAGGCCGCTGGCCTGAGCTGCCCTTCTAGACGAGAATGCCAGCAGCCCGGAGCCTGCAGATGAGGTGATCTGGTGCCTCCTTCCCCGAATTGGGGGCTGCGGGTCTAGACCTCGTCAGCTGCGTTTCCCCGGTTTCTCTACTAGGCCAGGGGGGTCTCCAACCTTGGCAACTTTAAGACTTGTGGACTTCAGCTCCCAGAATCCCTCAGCTAGCATGGGTGGCAGGGGGATTCTGGGAGTTGAAGTCCACAAGTCTTAAAGTTGTCAAGGGTTAGAGACCACTATACTAGGGCCAAGCTGCGATCTTGATTCAAAGGATAAAAAAAGGAAGGGGAGCCTGATCTGGCAGAAGCCCTCCTGTCACAGGAGCACATCTTTTCCTGTGTTTCTCCCTTTGAAGTCCAGATCACCACACAGCCCCGTTTTAAATTTAATGACATTAATCCACCATTTGAAAAGGGTCCTTCAATCCATCAACATTCGCCATCAACGTGGAAGCACAAATCAGTAAAAATCAGAAGCTGGAGCAGAACTTCTTTGGAGAAAAATATAGTGCAAGTAGAATCTTTCAGCATAGAACAAAGTAGAGAATCGGGATCACAACATGATCTGATACAGAATTAGTGAAAAGGGAGAAGTGCCTCTGTTGCACAGTCCTGGAAGTTCAGATCATTCCATGAACACTAGAGAAGATAGAAAATGTTAGAAACCACTGTAGGATACTTAAAATAAGATCTCGAATGCTGAGCTCTCCTGTTCCTGTTAGTCTCAATAAGTAGGTGGAAGGTCACAAGTTTTCCATATCTGGAGACCTCCCAACCTACCCCAGGATCCCTGTTTATGAATTGATCAGTGGGATTATTACCACCAGGACATTAGAGATATGTTAGCCCCAGTATAAGAGGCAATATGCTTCTACCAGTGGTGGGATTCAAAATTTTTTACTACCAGTTCTGTGGGCATGGCAGAGGAAGGATAATGTAAAATCTTCAGTCAGAAGTGGTGTTTGCCGGTTCTTCAAACTACTCAAAATGTCCGCTACCGGTTCTCCAGAACTGGTCAGAACCTGCTGAATATACCACCTCTGGCTTCCACATACCAGTTATTAGTCAACTTGGGCGGGATATTGGGTTTGTTTCTTGTGGAATCCCCACATCTGGTCAACCACAGTGGGATCTGAATATTGTATTTGACAGATTGCCATATTCATGTGGCTTTTTTATGTTCTTCAGTGGATTAGTGGTGGAGGCAAGGAATAGGGTCATTTCTTAAGTTCTTTGAAACTGATAAACATTCATAATTATCCATTTGAGAAAAAACATTTTTCAAAAAATTCAGAATAGTTCCAATATTCTATTCTGGAAGCATAATTTGGTTTACATATATGTATCTCTCTCTTTTTTCAATTTCTACCACTTTTTATATTACCCATAGTGATTTTTGCCTTAAATAATGCTAGGAACTGGCAGGTTTTATCTAGTCCTATTGTATTCTGTAGTCAACAAATCCAGATGAAAGAAGATGTGATTGAACAAGACACAGAGGAATGGCAGAGCAATTTCTCCTTTGCTGGACTGGAAAGAGTTGGAGGAATGGATTTGTCTTATCTCAAAGAAGATGCCACACGTGCCTGTGCTTCATTGGTGGTGCTCAGTTACCCAGAACTTGAGGTAACAAAAATAAATACCAAAGACATAACAAGGAATTTTTTAAACATCTAGGATTAATATATTAAGAAGACTGAAACTTCCAAGTTTCCAAAAATTTGACTCTCTCCCTTAGTAACTTCAATTTGGTTATCTCGCTGGGTTCCAGATGAGATATTTGTTTCTATAGTAGAATTGAGGAAAAACTCTTGGAAGCAATTCAAGAGTCAGTGGTGAATTTTGGGACTGTTGTCAAATTTAGGGGTGTTCCAGCTGTTGTTAGTTTAACTTTTCAAACTATGATCTCCCAGTCCTGATTCTTGAGTTGGGAAATGCTAAGGGCCATCAATCCATCAGCATTCTCCAGGTGAGAAGAGTGTACTGCATTTTCAAAGTCTTGTAAATCTTTTGCCAGTTTTGCTGTCTGAGAGACAAGTTAGTGGAGTTATAATTTTGCTTCTTATCAAATGCCCATATGAATCATAGTTGCCTGCAAGAGCATCTCTTCAGAAGATGGTTACTTTAGAGGAACTCAGAAACCACAAGATCTGATAAATGGATGGATGAATATGTATGTTTTCCACTGCTTCAGCCATTCCTTAAAAGATTTTCAGGTGTAGTTTTGATTTCTCCATGGAGAATGAGCTGTTATGTGTAGAAAATTGTTGTACCTTCTCGCAAGGATTTTTAAACATTGTATAGAAAATAACAGATATTGTTCATTGCCATTTTAGTTGTAAGAGACCACAAATGTGATTGTTTGCCCGCTACGTTGAACAGTCAAAATATTCCTGACCTTGGCTGCCAAGTACAAAATTCCAGAGCAGTTGAGAGAAAGAGAACCAGCAGATCAGCTGTTTTTCCAGCTCTGAGAATTGACAAAAAAGACTACTTCAGCAGTTTGGTAGACAAAGGAAAGGGATATGATGCGTCTTTTGTTTTAGTCTAGATCAGAAGTAGGAAATCCTTTTTCTTAGAAAGGTTTTTATTTACTGGTATTCCTTGCTTAATATTTTAAGTAAATACTTAAATAAATATTTATTTACTTATCATTTTAAAGCACTCTCTAGAACTGAAGGGATCAATCTGGTATTGCAATGACAGTAGATGTCTGTATCTGTTCTCACCTTACATTTGCAAACACATGAGAAGGTTAAATTTGAACCCCTTTGCTTATTTGTTTGGGGCATGACAAATGGCAACTGGGAGCTCCATTCAGTTCAAGGGTTGTGGTTGACCACTTCTGACCTAAATGACCTTAAAAATGTTAGTCTTCTGATCCTTAGCCAAAATGTCACTTTTTCTTCTGTTTTATCATAGGTCCTTTACGAAGACTGCTATGTGGTGGCTGTGAATGCCCCCTATGTGGCAGGATTCCTGGCTTTCCGAGAAGTCCCTTTTTTACTGGAGGCTGTGCAGCGGCTGGAGACACAGAAGCCTGGCCTCAAGCCCCAGGTGGGAAAGTTTTTGTCAACGAAAGGAGTGTTGCTGCTTTATGCCAAGGATATATTTCATACAGCATTCCCCTCCTTCAAAGAACTAATAACCAGGGCTTCAAGACTTGTGACCCCTAGCATTTCGAAACTTAGAACCTGTGGATATGAATGTTCCCTTTAGGTATCTATGACTGTTTTTCTCTTACTTGAAGGACAGAAATCCTGAGAACCTCTCTATGATGCAGCTCCGGTGGCCTAGAGGTGGAGCTCTCGCCTCACAATCTGGAGGCTGTGAGTTTGATCCTAGGCAAAGGCTAATATTTGGAATAGACTCTCCTGCTTGAGCAAGGGGATGGACTAGCTGACTGACCTCCAAGGAGTTATTGACCTTCCAACTCTTTTATTCTATGGTTCTATGATCTTTCTGGGAGGACTAGGCCCAAAGCCAGTACCTTTAAGCTGTGCTTCAGACCCAAAAGGACAGCTGCTCAAACCTAGTTTAAAACCCTCTTTTGAGTCATCCTGTCAGAATAAAAAGCACCGTTCCTGAAACAGCTAGAGAGGCTTCATTTTAGGAAATTGTGAAAGGCCCTAGCTCACCAAGACAGCACAATTCGAGTCCCCCAGCAGCTTTTCTCTCATAAAACAGATGCAGAAAAGGGATACTTGGAACTAAAGCACCCTGCAAATGTGATGGGATGACAAGTCCCATGATTCCCAGTCTGGACAGCCATAACTTGCATTGGCTTGAGAATGATAATATTTATATATATATGATCTCGAAGGACGACAAATAATGCCCTTGCTGTATTCAGACCCAATAATGTTTTTAGTGACAGATTTTGTGACTAGGTTTCGCTTCTTTCTTACTTGCGGAAAATAGGGAAGGTGGCCACCAAGGGTATTTGCCTGCTTTTTTGAAACGTTGTTTATGCAAACCAACATAGGCAACACTGACACCTCCATAAATGAAAAAGCTTCCCACTGTATTACCTATTATTGAAGTACTCCTTTGTGGGGGCGGGGTTTCCCCTAGGTGCTTCTTGTAGATGGAAATGGCATCCTGCACCACAGAGGTAAGTTTCCCGGCCCTTCCTTGCTAGTAAATCCTTTAGATTTACTGTACTGTAAATTTGCATGTAGATTTAAAGTAAATCCTTGAGATTTACTTCCCATCTCTAAGATGTTTAGAGCATGCCTTGAATATGCCAGCATGGGGAGTCACTAGTTGATTTCTCATTACTGTAGTGTTTGCAGAGCTCTTGGGGAAAAAGTTATTCCTGTTCACTCTCTTGGCAAATGCCAGAGAGGAAGAAGGGGCAAACAAAATAATTCCATCTCCTCTTCGTAGGCTGTACTAGCCTTCTTGCTGACAGTAAGTGAAAAGGCTGTCCTCCCCCCACATCCAAAAGGAACAGCAGAGTAACTGGGAGGCATTTTGGTAAACATGAAGACATGCATGGGAAGGTTGACAGCAGCCTTATGTCCTTTGTGGCTTGCCCTTCCTTTGGGAGTTTGTTCCAAAATAAAGTAGTGCCAGATTTTCTCTTCACAACAAAATTGAAACTTTTCTTACCAGTTTTTTCTCCAACATCATCTCCTCCTGCGTTATATTCAACAGGTTTTGGCATTGCCTGCCATCTTGGTGTTCTCACAGGTCTTCCCTGTATTGGTGTAGCCAAAAATCTCTTGCAGGTTGAAGGTTTGGCCAATGATGAGCTTCACAAGAAACAAGTAAGTGTTGAAATGTGTGAAATACATTTCACACTTTTAATTTCAAACAGTAGGGGGGATGTTAGAAGAACATCTTGTCAAAATTGGAGAAGCTGATATGTACAAATAGCTGTTCTGGGTTTTTTCCCCCATTTAAAGTGGGGGAATGATGGCAACCTACAGGATGAAATAAGTTCAGACTGATTGACAATTAATTATGTAGTGACCAAGATGCACTGCCCACTGTGTGTTTAAAAAACCACAGTTAACCATACCTTCCTGCTGTGTGTGTGTGTCTGTGTTGCATGGTCTTGACACATGAAAATTACTGCAAGGGAAGCCAGATTTCTATGCATGAAACCTTTAAAGGAGAATTTCAGGCAAGCTATTTTGGTTTCAGACTTTTATTCAGAGATGTCCTGTATAGTTTTGGCCCCCAACATTTTGGACACCAGGATCTGGTTTCCACAAACCCGAGGGAATATGGTTTTGCATGCTGCCTACATTATATGGATGTGGCTTCGCTTGTTTGCACAGCCTGGTTGTGGGTATGCTACGGACTGGTGCCAGTTCGGACTGAGGGTTGGGGACCTCTGCTGTACAGAACAGCGATGGAAAAGAAACACTGATACTCTCTTTTTTATTTTTACAGAAAAGGCTACAGTTTAGGAATTAATCTTGAATTGGTCCAATTACTTCATCGGTCCCAACACATCTGCTGTAGTAAAAAAAATTTCTCCATCTTCCAGATTCAAGATCTTCAGGCAGGAGGAGATGCATTCCCACTGACAAGTACCTCTGGGAAAATCTTGGGTATGGTAAGCATTTTTTGGGAAGGCAGTGTCTGTCTATTGGAAGTGGAAAGAGTGAAGAAATGAGTGCAGTAAAAAAGAAAGATCAATTTATCCTCAGTCACTGAAGCAGTCTTTGATCATTGTCTTAAGTATCAGACATTGGGGTGATTATAGAAAACTGACTAATAAATGTGAGTGAGTGAGTGAATAAATGAATGAATGAATGAATGCAACATATTCACCTTTTTCTTTCTTCCATTTCAAAATCCAGCTTCTCCTTCCATTATCTAGCTAGAATTTTCCACAGAGCTATTTTGTTAAATAGAAGTGACACCTAGCAGGGAAAAAGAGAAGGAAAAACAGAACTCAGTGTTTTCCTGTTGGTACGAAGTGTACCATATGCAGATGCACATACACCATGCACATACACATTGCCTTTGTAAAGTCCAAAAGGGGCATTTTCAAACGCCAACTAGACTTTGTTTTTCATTGAAGACATTTGGCTTCTCCTCCAAGAAGCTTCTTCAGTTCTGACTGAATGGTGGAAGATGGAAGGATTTATGTTCTTTGCAGTCATCTGGTCATTAGCACTCTTTCTGAGAGTTGTTGAGGCCACATGGATGTTTATCTGTGCCCACAGCGTCACTTGAATAGTGTAAATGGGTGTGGAACCTTCTTGAAACTGCTGAAAGGACTGAAGAAGCTTCTTGGATGAGAAGCAAAACATCTTCAAGGAAAAGCAAAGTCCAGTTGCCTTTTGAAAAAGCACCTTTGGAACAACCAGGACCTCTATGGAAATTTTGCCTACTTAAGGGTTCAATAAATATATATGCCTGATGTTTATATGGCTCTTACCCCATTTTGCTTGTTCATTCATGTTCTTTGGACGTTGCACAGTTTGCATGTATCTAGCAGTTATCTCTGTTTCTTATCTGCCCAGGCCTTGCGTAGCTGTGCCAAGAGTACAAAACCTATATACATCTCAGTCGGCCACAAGATAAGTCTATTATCGGCTATGCGCCTGGTCCATTCTTGTTGCAAGTATCGGATTCCTGAGCCCATCCGGCAGGTATGAGCAGAATGTGCATTTAGAGTTGCTGATACTGGCAACCTCAAGCTAAGCAACTTGGTCAACACTCTGAATGTTTGGACTTCAATTCCCAAAGTTCCTAACTAATGATGGCCATTGCTAGGAATTCTAGGAGCAGAAGTCCATTCATCTAGAGCAGGGGTGTCAAGCTCAGTTTCATTGAGGGCCGCATCAGGGCCAGAGGTGGTATTCAGCAGGTTCTGACTGGTTCTGGAGAACCGGTAGCGGAAATTTTGAGTAGTTTGGAGAATCGGTGGTAACTTTCCCACAGGAGTGGGGTGAGAATGAAGATTTTACTACAGTATCCTTCCCCTGCCATGCCCACCAAGCCACACCCACCAAGCCATGCCACAGAACCGGTAGTAAAATTTTTTGAATCCCACCACTAATCAGGGATGTGTTTGATCTTGGGAGGCTGAGGTGGGCATGGCCAGCTCAACGTCACCTGTGGTGGTCTGAGCGCTCTGTCAGTAAAAATGGGCTCCCAAGCTCCATTTCGGCTGCAACAACCTTCTACAACCCTCTGCCAGCAAAAACGGAGCTCGGGAGGGCTGCATGCGAGCTCTGTTTTTGCTGGCAGAGGCACTGCGGGCTGGTCCTTCACTGTTTCCAGGGCAGCCCCATGGGCCAGATCTAAGCACCCTACGGGCTGAATCTGGCCTGTGGGCCTTGAGTTTGACACCCTAATCTAGAGGACACCCTGGTTAGAAGAGGCTAGAAAGCTAGATGAGGGCTATGTGATCTGAGCTCTGCTCTATCAGATCGTTTTGAACTTCATTTATTTTACTATAATACTTCACCAAATACTTCTGGAAAGTCATAAATAGGGGGGAAAGTTGACAGAAATCCTATTGTTTAATTTCAACATTCTGTCTCCTGAAAATGCAAATAAATCATTTTAGGGCTTGATTTAGAAATGTAGAAAATGACATTGTTCAACTACTAGGACTACATAAGCAATTATGCAGTTTGACTGAGGTCCTGAATTAGAAGCAATATCTAATCATTTCCACCTTTGGGCTTCCTACTGATTAAAAACCAGCAATAGATTGAACATTTTAAATAAATGTATATGAAATTTACATTTATATCAGACTCTTCCAAAGAGTTGAAACTTGCCCAGTTTTAGAGAAATTGAAACAGGAATTTTAAATTTTAGGTTTTAAAAAGGAACATTTCCTTGTTTACCCTGGATCTGCAGAATTGGTATGTATCTGCTCCATTTTGGGGGATCCTGGTAATCCCTTTTGGAAAAAAAAATCATCTTTAAAATGTTTAGGTTAAGAAGCCGAGATGTATTATCTGTGAATAAGCACCCCATATTTAAACAAAAAACTCTATACAACTAATTCCTGGATCACATAGCTTGCACAGTGAATAGGAACTGCTGGTCCAACTATATTGCTGATCCTCCCAGGACTCTGCAGGCTACAGAGATTGCTGAGACAGAATGCAGCCAGTGGATGGCAGTGCTGGATCACCATTTAGGTACCTTGAGGCAGAGTTTGAGCAAGGAGAGATTTTAGCACAAAATGTGTGGGCCACAGACTTGCCAAGAAGCTAGCCTTGAAAGTTGCAACCATGCCTTCAATATATGCACCTGTGGCAAAGAAAAGCTCAAGCAGAGCAGTTTCTCACCTCTTGACAGGGATGTTCTGATGGAAGGTACCTTTCCTAATGTCAGAGTGCTCAGATTTATGAGCCATTAATAAGCCACTGTACCCATGTCAGCACCTTCCTAAATGCTAGCTTCATTCTAAGCTCCAAAGAGAGAATCCATTGGAACCCCTTATAGCAGGGCTTCCCAATCCCTGATCCTTGGACAGGCACCCCTCTGTGGCATTCCAGAAACCGGGGCGTGAAAACAAACAAAGCCCCATCCGCAGGATGTAGGTAGCACAAGAAATCACGTCCCTTCCAGTCCACAGAAAAACCTCTCTCCATGGAACCGGTCCCAAAAGGTTGGGGGCCACTGACTTATAGGACCCAGCACAAAATAGTTTTGGGGAAACAAAAATCAGTATGTTGAGATGTTCTCCTCTTGAGCTGAAGCGTATTGTAGATGGGCAAAATGTCAAGTGATCTAGTTGTAGCAGAAAGGCAGAATACAATGCGCCACAAGATGACAGCAAAAAGTTAAGATTTTCTGCATCTCTTTACTTCCATTTTTGGTCACCTGGATTTTTGCAACTCGGATCTGGTTGTCTTGTGTTTGATCAGCCCTTGACCACTGCTTGCATTTCCGTTCGTGATGCAGTCCATAAAAGTGTGGCTCAATGGTAGATGACTCAATGATTTATGCTTGGCATGCGGAAGTGTCAGCTTCATTCCCCACCATCTTCGGATAAGGTCAATAAAATGCATGCAGGAAACCCTTGAGAGCAGTGTTGATGGTACCAAGCTGAGAAACCAGCCGATTGAGTCAGTATCGGACAGCTTCCCATGTTCCTTTCCCACACACCTTCATAAGAAGTCCTGAACAAATAACTCAATAACTTAGCGCCGAAATGATGATCCGTGCGTGGTTCTTGATAGTTAATGCCTCCAGCAGAAGCCGTAAGTATTCAAGAGAGTCAGTGTTTGCGTGCCTTTTTATGGAAGAAATATTTCATGTGCCAGAACTGACTTTAGTCACTCAGTAATATTCCTTGTGATGTGAATATCTCCACTGTAACACAGACACAGCTCTGTGCCCTACTCGCTCCCATCCTTACTCTCGTCCTTTGCTGCAGCCTGTCTTGCATTTCACAGACCATTAGCATCTTCATGCTGCCACTCCCACTTTCCTCTCTGGGGAAAGTCAGGCTGCAGCCCAAAAGTGGAAAAAAAGCTTACACGAAGAAGAGGTGCCTCCCAGCCCTGGGATAATAGCAATAACACATGATAGAAGTCATAAGTCTGCCATCTTTTTGCAACCAAAGCACTTGCTTTCGGCATCTGACCCAGCCTGATGTTTTCTATTTTTTTCATACTCCTGGCATAATCCCCAGTCTCTAATGCCACTGCTAGCCTACTCCAAAAATAGACGCGAACTTGAGGGGATTATTAAGGCAACATGACCCACCTTATTGATTAGCCTCTTGGGTTAATAAGCTAGATTAAGCCGTCTTAGCACAACGTTAGGAGTGAAAAGATGCTATAGTCTAAGAGGACACTTTGCTCTTCCCTTTCCCTGCCCATGGAAGCAAAATGAGGGTAGCTCTGGATGCTGAAGGTGGCATTAATAATGTTTGATGAAGAAGCAGGAAAATGAAACAAGGCATTTTATTGAAAGGAGCCGGAATGTTCAGCATTGCGATTCCTTGGATATTGAACAGGGGTTGGAATCTACCAGTTTGGACCAGTTCTATAGAACCAGTTGTTAAGATTCTGTGCAGTTCGGAGAACCGGCAAATTGTGCCCCTGGCTGCCCTGCTCCGCCCCTCTCTATCTGTCCCTCCCCTCCTTGCCCAGTCAGTCCTTATCACGCATGCGCCACATCGCGCGTATGCCCAACATCGCCGACTGTATTGTCCCCTGCCCAGTCACTCGTTAAGGTTTTTCTTTTTTTCTTTCCCTCCTGACGATCAGCTGTTCTGATGATCAACTGTGCCAGGATCCCCTTGCTGTCTTACTGCTTCACTCAGGAGGTTTCCCTGAGGCCCAGGAGGCAAAAAGGGGCACGTGGAGGGAGTGTACTGCGTGCCCCCCACGCTCCATTTTTTTTTTTTGGCCTTTTGGGGCCTCAGGGAAGCTTCCTGGGTGCAAAAATGCTCCCCTGGAGACTTCCCTGAGGCCCAGGAGACCCAAATACAGAGTGTGTGTGGGGGGGGTTGCTGCAAAAAAAGCCACGCCCACAGAACTGTTTGTTAAAAAAATTGAATCCCACCCCTGATATTGAACCAATTGCATACTTAGCCATTGCAATCTCTGAGGCACAACATTCATGACTGAGAACCGAGTCTTTGGTCAAACAGAAATAGTTATTTGCTAACTAGTTTTTTTAAAAAAATTACTTATGGGAGAGAGATTTTCCTCTAATATAAAACTCGGATCTTAAGCCATATTTATTTTCATCCAAAACTAATTATATTTTGTTTATAATTATCTCAAATACAATTTTATGAAGAATTTTAATTACAGTCGTAAAAACTGATACAAACTAAACTTAGACAAAGAGAAGAGAATGGAAAGAAAGAATAAAAGGTGCAATAAAAGAGAAAAAGAAAAAGAAAAGAGAATATAATAAAGAAAAAAGAGGAACATATAGAGAAAAGACTTCCAACCTTCATCACCACAAGTATAAGAACTCTTCAAAACTTAAACAGACATATCTTCTTCCCATAGTCTGTCCTTTAACTATAAACAAATCCATAAAACACCAACTTTTCAATCTTGATGTCAACAAAAAGTCCATAAAGGGTTGCCAGAACATCATAACAAAATATTTTAACCTTGATCAAATAAAGCAACTATATATTTCTTCATTTTGCTTCTTACAATCTTAACCTTTAATTCAATCCAAAATTGTCATAGGATATTTTTTTCAGTTCTTTATACAGTCTTACATATTTCTTTAACAAGCCTCTTTTCTAAATCCATATGAACATATTTTCCATATCATTTTCTTGGTGAATCATTTGTATTTTCCTTTCAAGTTTCAAAATTTCCTTTCAATTTTCAAAATTTTGGCCAGTTTCTATTGTATATCCAGTAACATATTATTTTCCAAATCATTATCTTGGGCTATCATTTGTGGTTCCATATTTTTTGCTTTATTTTATCCCATAAAATTTTTCTCACATCTTTCATTCCTCCATTAACATGTTTTAGTCTATCCATAGAAGGGTATCATTACTGACAGTTGATATTATTAACTTCTGACTCCTTTCTTCAAAGATTTCCTTTAATATTAACATTTGTTATAATGTTTTGTATCATTCTGTAAGTCTCAGGATTAACTGACATCAGTGGTTGTATTTTTTCTTCTGCTTAAAATGTTTATTCCCCTCCAATGTCCGGTTTCTAAAATCATCACTTATCTTTTATTATTGACTTGCCATTGCAGGATAACAAAATCTATTCGTTTCCTACGAGAAGTTGTTTATTTTTTTATAGATAAATCATAAACCTTATTTTCCAATATTGTAAATTTACCTAGACCCTCAATCCGTTCACAACTATCTTAGATTAAAATCTTATTTAGCTTTGCACTTTATTTCAAATTCTTTAAGTTCTAAACGTTGTAAATATTTTTATTTTGTTCAACATTGAAAATAAACTCATCTGATGAAGATTTTTTTAAACCCATCTCTAGATCTAGTTCTAGAGTAATTAATAAGCAATTTCTGACAAATTAAAAGTGAGGTTAGCAAACTTAGTGTCCTTTAAAAGTCTCCACCTCGGTTGGGAGCAGAAGGGCCAATCCCATTGTCTTCTGATGCTCATACCCATGAAAACTGGCTGTCCTGTGGTCTCCTTGCCAGGAGCAGCCATCTGGAGCCAATATGGGTAATATTCTTTTTTATCATAGAGGTTCCAAGGAATTGGCATGCTCACCAGTTCCTTGGTCTTTGTTGCAGATGTCATCTTTGCTTTTGCAGAGCCATCTTCAGTTTTTAATTATCTAAAATTCTATTTCCAATTTTTTGGTTATTAACATGTTTTGCAGGTGCTTTTAAAGTAGAAAAGTAGGCTGAAATAAGTACTAAACAAACGGCTAAATGGCATTTAATTATGTCAGCAATGACTGGCTTTTAGCTTCTCTTATTGCCAGTAATTGTTGGCTCGAGCCATTTGTATTCAACAGTTTTTGCTTTATAGAATTTGTTGGTATGGAGCCAAACGATGTAAATTAATTTTGTTAAGCAGATCTAAAACAAATTAATTTGTCATAACAAATGTATCTAAATGTTCAAACCCCCATTCCTTTCACAAAAGATGGGCACACAAGATGCCTTGGCGGCGATCTTTTGTGTCTCTGGCCCCGTTCATGACATATGCAAGCTTTTATGCGACAGAAAGTTATTCATCCGCTCCCTAACACTGGAAGCTTGAATCATTATGTACCAATAGTGGATTATTCCTATCCGTTCTTTCATATAGTATAGTTAACATAATAGATTAAAACAGTAATGCCATTCTAGATCCTGTAAGACTGCAGTTCCTATCACCATTGGCAGTCTAGAGCAGGAGTATCAAACTCAAGGCCTAGAGGCTGGATCTGCCCCACGGGGTGCTTAGATTTGGCCCACGGGGCTGCCCTGGAAGCACTGAAAGGTGCCTCTGCCAGTGAAAATGGAGCTGGCAAGGGCCGTGGCCCTACCGAGCTCCATTTTCACTGGCAAAGGGTTGCAGGAGGCTGTTGCAGCCGAATACAGAGCGGGGAAACTTGTTTTCGCTGGCAGAGAGCTCGGGCCACCACAGGTGCCCCCAACACGAGTGATGTTGAGCTGGCCATGCCCATTTTGGTCCCCAAGGTCAAACACAACCCTGATGCGGCCCTCAATGAAATCAAGTCTGACACCCCTGGTCTAGAGGGTTCATTGATTCAGTGTCCCTTAACCAAATGATTTACTATTTGATGCCAGCCTGCATCTCTCCCATTCCCCCCGTTGTTCCCCATTTTGTGATATATCAGATGGCAGCCTGAAATTCATAATCTCTGTTGAGTACTTGTAAAGTGTCCTGGTTCTTTGGAAAGTGAAATAAAAGTTTGGCTGAGAAGACATACATTAAATAGATACAAGGATCTTTGTTCAACAAATAAAAGGCAGTACAGTTGTAAGAAGGTTGCATCCGCTTGAAAAGAAAGTTCACAGGTGATTTGGAGCTAGTCTAGGGATTCTAGGTCCGGGCTGAAAAAAAATAAATAAAACCAATCTCTGCATACTGCTACTTGGCTGCAATCTAGTGGTTGCTCAGATTTCTGCAGCCCAGATTTGGTAATCCTAGGATAGTTATTTTCATTCAGCCTGGTCATTCTTGCATATTTGTTGTAATAATATCACTGGAATGAAGAATACGCACCTTGAAAAAGAAAGATGAATGGCATTTAAACTTAAAAGGAATTTTAAAGTTTATCAAAGGAAGGGCTATTAGTGCTGTGGTTAATGGAAGGCTGCTTTGGAACACTACACGTGACCATTGACTGACTACCTGTCCATCCACCTCACAAAAAATAGAGAAAGGCATTGCAAAATGAAGAATATGAAAATATTAGGTAAGAGTTGCTGAAGATAGACTGTACAGTGGAATTGAAGAAAGCAGCCCAAGGGTAAGGGACCTGCGAAGGAGTGCTCACATAAGAAGTTAAGTCAATGAGAGAACAGGAGTAACCAAAGATGAATGCCAATACGTCTGGAGCTCCATGATTTTTTACATCAGGTTAATTTCATACCTAGGTATTCCTTGTTGCTACTCCAATTAAATCAGCTTGAGGAAGAAGTTCTCAGTTAGATCCTGTTCTGAGGCTATGGCAGGCTTGAGAAACCTGACTCTGTGTGTGTGTGTACATTTTGTCCTCTTTTCCCTCTGTTTGCTGTGATCATTCGCCAGAGTAGCTCGGTATTTCTAGATCACCCTCCCTCTTTCAAGGCATGTTAGTCTATGATGACAAAAGCCAGGAGGACTACAACTTTTATTAAAAGGCTTTGGTGACAGTGAAGTGATGACATGAGTGCAACTCACAAAATTTTAATGCCCTTTAACACAATTTGTTAATCTGAGAAGATACTACTAGACGTCCTGATTTTCTTTCCCATCCTGCCAGTTGTCAGATGCATTGTACTTCCATTCCTGTTGCCAGCAGACTGATGAGTCTGGGAACTCTCGTTCATCTGCAAAATACGTTCTGTGCAGACCTGTTATGTCCCATTGAGATGAATCGTTTTAAATTCAGACAGCCGTCGAATTTCTTGAACCCATCCTTTACCCAGATCCACTGCAAGTTTAATTCTACCAGATGCCAAAGCTGTCACCCAATTTGGTTTTGTTCCAGAATTTGGCAGCAATTCTATCAGAGGTAGCATTCAGCAGGTTCTGACCAGTTCTGGAGAACTGGTAGTGGAAATTTTGAGTAGTCCGGAAACCGGCAAATACTACCCCTGACTGGAGATTTTACAGTATCCTTCCCCTGCCATGCCCACCAAGCCAGGCCCACAGAACCGGTAGTAAAAAAAATTGAATCCCACCATTGAATTCTATAGAGAAATGTATTGAAAGACCCAATCCTAGAAAAGAAAGCATGGTGTCCATTAACACATTTATTTCCTCTGCTGTGAAGAATGTAGGTAGCATTTGGCAGCCCATATCAAACTGCTCAGTTTGCGTTGAATGGAATAAAATGTACATTGTTTGAAAGAGGCAGCTTGGCATTCTCTTGCTTCTTCTTTCTCTCTCAAAAAGAAGCACAGTGGAACTGGTTTGGATTGCGATCGTAATGTGGCCTGTATAAGAAGCTATCAGTTATAAGCTTTTCTCCTCTTGATGCCTAGTTCCCAAACTCTTAAATGAAAATCTGCTATTTAGTAGATATTTTAGCACTGTAAATTAGAGACGCTACAGTAAAAAAAAGAAAACTTTCCTCATCCTGATGTTGGTAGTTTTGTTCCAGTCAGATGTCCTTACTTTTAGGTAAAGAAAAGAAGTGTGGCTGCTAACCACATTTTTAAAGTATTATATACAGTAGTTTGACTCATAGTCCAACTCAGAATAAACTTCTTACATTTCCACGACCACAACTGAAAAATAATATTAGCCAGGTGAGCCTTTGGTCTAATCCAAGATGGGTTTTCTTATAAATTATTTACAAGCTTTTGACCAGTAGTGAGCAGAAGAGGCTCATTTTCTTCTCAGTCCCAAAATATATCATGAAGGTAACCCTCAATTCTCTTTGGGGTAGAAGCAGCATTGTGATTGGCTGAAATCTGACTAGGACTGAGAATTGTGAGGTGATTTCCCCCCCCCCCCGCCCCCCGATACAGTAATGTCAGAGCCCAGCAGCTCTGTCTCTTCTGCCTCCTCCCACTCTCCTAGAATCCTAGAAATTGTCACTTGCACCAGTCAACCTAATTAATCTCTTATTATTTTCCTCTTGGTCCTGATTATAGGCAGATATAAGATCCAGAGAATACATCCGGAAACATATGGAGGTCAATATTGCTGTGCCCCTTCCTCAGCCAGAGAGGTAGGTGTTTATATGGTTAGAAAGCTATATATGTCCACCACCCCCTCCCCAGCCAATGTGCTTTTTAAATGCTCTTTGGGAATGGCATTAAAGTAGCTTCCAAGGTCTATGCTCTTCCGCTGGACCAGCTATTTCAGGCAGAGTCTCATACGTCTCTGCAAATTACACAGTTTCCCAAAATGTTTGAATTAGATTTGCTACAACCTTGAGATGATCACAAAACATATTCGTATCTTGGAGCAAAAGTGCCGTTTTGGCAGCATAGGTGCCAAAGATGATATGTATGTTCTGGAAGAGTTGCACGTCACCTTTGCTGTGATACATCCAGAGTTATTCCAGGAAAGTGACATTTTATTCTTAGAAATCAGTCTTCCAATGAGTAGCACTAACTTACAAGGAAGGAAAGTTAAAAAAAAGAAGTGGAATTTAAGATCCAGCCTCTACCAGTGGATTGGGATAACATTCTCTGCATTTGCATAATTGCATCCCAACGTCTAATGCTAGCGCATAGATTTTTGTCATGACACATATTTGATCACTTGCTTCCTTCTTTAGAGGCCAAGATCTGGAAAGTGTCAGATTGGGGGAAGCTGACAAAAATGAAGGCAAGGACTGAGGTATGATTGTTCCAGGGCAGGTCCTTAAGTTTGGACAATTTCCCATTCCAAACTTTTTCTTTTTCTTTTGGTCATCTTAGTTTGACCCTGTCCTGTTTTGTATCCTTCTTTCCTAGAGCTAATCACAAAGGTGAGCTTTCATCTCTAAGACCACCATCCTGAGAAGAGAATGTGGCAATTTCCATCTATTCAACAAAGCACTGCCCAGAGATCAAAGACAGTCAAGAGAAGCTCTTTCAAGTACTTTCATCCAGGGATTTGCCAACTGCATTTTGGAGCAAGAAATATTGTCCTAACAGAGCAGGCCTGGGCTTTAGGTGAACACAAAAGGCAAACAAAATGACCTAGATGAGTAGTGATCTAAGGCAGTGACAGTGGTGGGCAGGTTGCCCTGTGCAGCCGTCAAATTACTTTCCTGCAGGGCAGAGAATCTTGGGCGAATTCTTCAGGGAGGACTTTTATTTTTGTCTGCCATCTGCTCCATTCCTTATCCTGAAGTTTCCTTTCAGGGCAGTGAAAATCCTGAAACTTAGGATAGCTTCCCCAATTTTGGTCCTTTCCAGGTGTGCAGCCTGGGAATTCTGGTGGTTGAGGGCCAATGTATTCTGGAAGGGAATAAATTATGTGCCAGTTTAATGGTCATAGGCTCGGCTTGACCCCTGTAAGCAAAAAAATACATTTCCTAACACTGCATTACATATTGACTGAAGACATTGAACACTGACTATGGTATGGTATTTTATTTTTAATGATTGGGAAATGTTGTTTTCTGCTTATTTCACTTATCCTATTTGTACACTGCACACTTCTAGCTGAGCTACCTTGTGGCAGTGCATGTGCATCTATGATGATGGGGAGTATATACTGGTTTTAATAGGTTGAGTAGTGTGAATTATTCACAAAAAATTGCTCAATTTTCCTGCCATGAAACAGATGCTGGTTAAACCTGCTATTGAGCTAGAAAAGAGTTTGAGTTATCCTTGAAATCAGTAAGTTGACCTTGGTGAATTGGCTGTGACGAGTTGGCCACAGTGAGTTTGTCCCATTCCCTACTAAACAAGCACAGTAATTGTCTCGATGCCTCACTGTCCATCCTTGTGTTGTTCCTCTCTGCCTGGGATGGTGGGGATGCTGGGCAACTGCTAGTTCTCAGATCTGTCTCATCTGCCCACTTCTTGTCTCTCTTCCCCGAGAGCAGGTACTCATCAGTGCCAGAAATAAGTAGCTTGTTTCTAGGTTACGCACTCCAAGAGTTCTAATATCAGAGAAGGAGTAAGTTGTTTTGCAGGGTTTCTGTTCTCTAGTACCATCTTTTACTGTGTTGCATCAACTGTGCAACAGTTTCACAGTAGAGGAGAGAGAGTCTGAATTAGCCCAACTTTGCTCAGGCCAGTGATAAGGCTAGTGAAGAAATCAAACCTGTTTACTAAAGGAAAAGTCCTGAGTTCAATGGCACTTATTAGAAAGTCAGCAGGCTACAGCTTCTGTTCCCTGAGGTATTCTAGCATCCACCTAGAAGCGCAGAAACCTGCTGTAGAAACACTTTCTGTCGATAAACAATCTCCAAAAACTGCTTTCCTGGAGATACTGAAAACACTGCTCAATTAATTAATTAGCTACCAGAGAGTCTGTTAATGAGCTTTTCAAATTTTCCTGTATTTGTTGGCAGCTTTAAGGGTTTTTATCCTCCTGCCCCTCTCCAGGATAAATGAAAACAGTCTCTGAACATAAATGCCGCATCAAGAATGTGGTTCAATATTTTTTTTTCAAGTTATAATTCAATGTAAATTTTAATCCTTTACTCCATATATTTTCCCATTGATCAAGCATTACATTCAAGTTTTTCCCCGCTTACAGTGCATTCAGAAAGTGTTCAGACCCCCTTCATTTTTGTCAATTTTGTTATGCTGCAGCCAGATTTTACAGTTGTTGAAATTCATTTTTTTTCTCATTAATCTATACTCAGTGTTCCATAATAACAAGGTGAAAACAGAATTTTAGAAATGTCTAAATTTATTAAAAACAACAAACTGAAATATCACAAAGGACATAAGCATTCAGGCCCTTTGCAACAACACTTGAAATTTAGTTCTGATGCCTCTTGATCATTGCTGACATATGTTTCCATACCTTGATTGAAGTCTACCTGTGGTAAATTAAATTGATTGGACATGATTCGGAAAGGCACATACCTGCCTATAGAAGGCTTCACAGCTGACAATGCATATTGTAGCACAGCAAAAGCTATGAAGTCAAAGAACTGCTTGCAGAGCTCAGAGACAGAATTATTGCAAGGCATAGATCTAGTGAAGGCTGCAATAACATTTCTGCGGCACTGAAAGTTCCCAAGAGCACAATGGCCTCCATAATTCTCAAATGGCACAACCGGTACTTTTCCGAGAGCTGGTCACTCGGTCAAACTGAGCAATCGGTGGAGAAGGGCCTTAGTAAAAGAGGTGACCAAGAACCCAAATGTCACTCTGACTGAGCTCGATAGATTCTGTGTGGGGATGGGATAGAGTTCCAGAAGGACAACCATCACTGCAACCCTCCACCAATCTGGGCTTTATGGCAGAATGGCTGGACCTCTTCTCAGTGCAAAACACAGGAAAGCCCGCTTGGAGTTGGCGAAAAAGCATCCGAAGGACTCAGACTATGAGGAACAAGATTCTCTGGTCTGATGAAGATTGAACTGTTTGGCCTCAACTCTAAACATTATGTCTGGAGGAAACCAGGCACCACTCATCACCTGCCCAATATTATCCTTAGAGTGAAGCGTGGTGATGGCAGCATTCTGTGGGGGATATTTTTCAGCAGGGACTGGGAGACTAATCAGAGTTGAGGGAAACCTGAATAGGTCAAAGTACAGGGATAGCCTCAATGAAAACCTGTCCCACAGCACTCAGGACCTCAGCCTGGCCGAAGGTTCACTTTACAACGTGACAATGATCCAAAGCACACGGCTAAGACAACACAGGAGTGGCTTAGGGAAAACTCCGTGAATGTCCTAGAGTGGCCCAGCCAGATTTGAACCCTATTGAACATTTTCAGGAACCTGAAAATGGCTGCCCACAGATGGTCGCCATCCAACTTGACTGAGTTTGAGTGGAGTTGCAAGAAAGAAAGGCAGAAAATCCCCTAATCCAGGTGTGCAAAGCTTGCTGTGTCATACCCCAAAAGATTCGAGGCTGTAATTGCTGCCAAAGGTGCTTCAACAAAGTACTGGGTGAAGGGTCTCAATACTTAACGCCAATGTGATATTTCAGGTTTTTTATACAAGATTTATAGAATTTTTATAAGATGATGTACTATTGGTATTTAGCAGCTGATAAATTGTCAAAAAAAGTGTAAGGCATCTGAAGATACATTTTATTTTTAGTGGACATGTAAAAGTAACAATTATTGGGATCAGGTGTGTGTACCTTTATTTTGTGAATTCTTGGAATAAATGTGCTATTGAAACCAAAGATTTTTCTTTTAGGTTTTATGGATTGAAAAAAACCTGGGACTTTATATGATCAAAGCAGCAAGACTTTTATATGCACAGAGATGGAAGGATTTACAGATTCCTACAATGGAATAATGGATGGTGAAATTAATGGAGTTGGCAGAGCTGGCAAAATTGGCAACTTTGATGCAAGAAAGACTTGTTGCTACCTGGAAACCGCTTTTGGATTGTTTGCTTGAAACAGAAAGAAATGAAACGTTTAATTGTGGGATTTGAGTGTTACAACTGTTTATCAAAATATATGCTTAGATTTGTATAGGTACCAAAGGAAATTTGAAGTTTTCTATTTTTTTCTATTGTTCCTTTTTTACACTCTAATCTTGTTTCAATCTTGACCTTTCCCGCCTATTTATTTTTCTGTTTTATATTTTATTCTTTGTTGAAACAATAAAATTTTGTAAATGAACAATGTGGCTCTATGTCCATATATAAACCAAGACCAAGATTCATGGTCTGGTAACCCTCCTTTGTTGAAATGCAGTGATTGCACACAAGAAAGCACTGCTGGGAGCCATTTGAAGGATGGACCCTTCAATGTACCAATCTTTGGTCACCTCTTAAGGCCGTTTCCCTTGCTTTGTGACAGGAAACTGGTCTTTGTTTCTTGACATAAATGGAAGACCAGCTGACAAGCAATATGGTTTATGTGGAAATAAACCCCAAGGATGAGCCCACCACTTGCAATGATGGCCAGGGGGTGCAAGGAGTTTGTTCCTGAAATCAAAATCCAGTCTTTATTCCGAAACTGCTCTTTCAGAAGAAGCCCTAATTGACATCTAGGGTGGGTTTGATTAGGGACAGACATTTGGGATGTAAATAGTAAGAGCTTTTTCCTCAGACCTATGAAGGGGAAGAGAGTGAGACCAGGCATTTTCCCTTCTACAAGTTATACTATTAAGCTCAGTTTTTATTTGGTATTTAGCTGGGAGCTGTGTCAAACACACTCTCCGGTGAGCCTATCCATGTAATGCCAATGTGCATGTGCTTCCACAGACGGAGTCAACATTTGGGAAGAACATTTTGCACGTGGAATTATCTACGGATGATTCATGCTCAGCTAAAATGAGAAGCTGAGTCGCACTCATGGTGTGGAAATCGTGGTTTCAGTGTAGAAAAACATTTTGCATTTTTCTTTTTCTTTTTGTCTTTGGTGCAGCCACACGCCAAGCAACACATCTTGGTTTGTAATAGCCTAACGATAATTTAGAATGAGATAATATAAATTTAGGTGATTTAGAAACTAAGTTGATTTAAAAGTGAAATGCTGAAAATAAATCTTGACCGGTAATTGGGTAAATGATGGGTATGGGTATCCATGTATGAATAAGGCAGTGAAAATGTACTTGCTGGTATCTGTGATTTACTTGGACTGTAAAAAAAAAAAAAGGTTGAAGGGCTATTAAGGAAATAAAGGAAGAAACTGGGATTCTTGGTGAGAAATGTTCTTAAATGCAGCATGTTACTTAAGCACAAAGTTTGTCATCGTTTAGCTGGTGTAATGTGTGTCTGCCTTTTGCTTGAGGGTGTTTCCACCCCCACCCGCAATCAAGTCATTCCAATGTCTGGCTTGTCCTCCCTCCCTCCCTGTCTACGTGATTGTGATTGCTGCTGTCACTTTCACACCTCCCTGGGGAACAGATGCTGAGTTCCCAGCTCCCTATGGTCCCAGCAGATGGATGGAGAGAGGACTTTGTGTATTGGGTGGGTGTGTAGCTTGCGGAAGCCAACCATCTGCTCCCTTGTTTTATAGGAGGCTCCAAGGCCGGGGGTTAAAACACGGGCTTATGAGGAGCTTTAAATCTTCCCTGCCAGATCCGTTGTGCCACCTGCAGCCTGCAGACAGTCAGATTTGGCCTCCAGCAGTCGATGCTGTAGTGGCCAGCATGGTGGTTGGCAGGATTGAATAACTCACCCTGAAGCTGACAGGAAAGAGGATTTGGTTGTATTGCTTACAGAGAGACGTGGCAGAAATTGGTCTGCAGATCTCTGGGAAATGTGCCATCTACCTTGTCACCAAAAGCTTAAGTCGACTAGCCAGAGCTCATATTCCTCTACCTCTGTTTATTTCTGACTCAGGTTCAGCCCTGGGTTACCTGGCTCAAGATCAATCCTGATATCCATTATCCTTGGCCTATGACTGCATCCACAAGACCGCCTCCATTCAATTCTATCCTGCAGGTTATAAAAATCTCCCTCCCTCCTTTCCTTTTTGATGAAGGCCTCTTAGTTTTGATAAGCAACTCTGATTTTGCTTCCAGCAAAGTTCCACAAGAGTCTCATCTG